CCTAGAGTTCGACTCGCTCGTCTCCTGCTTTATCTTCCAACCCATGCGTCGCCGGAGGATCAATGGATTTGCCTGGCGGCACGGCGCGAGCAGTTTCAACATGGTGTCTGGTTCTAGTGTGTTTGGATTTGCGTCACACGTCCCGTGTTAGAAGATGTTTTTTGTGCTTATCCGCTCGGGTCGTGCAACCATCTTATCGAACTTTCGCACCATTCACATGATGAACAGGAAAGAGTGCTCCGCAGAAAGGAGCGGTCGGCAAAAATGCTACGACAACGTCCCATGAGAGGCTGTTCGCGTTGATTTGTGGTGGAAGGATGCCAACTGTCTTGTTGTAATTGTTGTTGCCTTTCGCGTGTTGTTCGCGTGTCAGATGCTTGCGTGGCTTGGTTGCGCCCGTTCCATGCCTATCTGTGCCTTCGACATCCAGAGGTCGACAACGCCATGGCTCTGGGTCTAAGGGGCGTGCTTAGCAAATTTGCAATAAATTTGCAGCTGAAGCTGGGCAAGTTTGTCATGGTGTGCGTCTCGGATCATCCCTGGACGCTCCGTGAATCTTGATAGTCTTGATGTGTGAAGATGACATTGTCATTTTGATCCCGTGATCTGCAGCGGGCCTTGATGCCGCTTTTCGTTGGGCCACATGTTGGATATGTTGGCGGTCCCATTTCGTAGTCCAGAGAAATCAGCCGTGATGTGTTTTGGTCGTGGGCTCTCCCGCGATCACTTGCCAGAGTTTCGCCGCCTGGGCACGTTGGTTCTTCCATGCTAGTCGGGTTGTCAGGTCTTTAACAGGTGTTTTTTCCCAAGATTTTCCAAGACAATTTAGGTGGGCGACAACACGTTTCGTTGACTGTCTGTTGAACCGGTGGGACGCGACACAATTCTGGAGTTTCTCGCACCGTGACTGCAACAATTGGCCACGCAGGAGCGGTGGAACGGCGGATTTTTTCTTTGCGTCGCAAGGTCACGGTGAGCGAAAGTGATCGTTTCCTAGCTGTGGACAACAGCGCCGTCGATCAACGCGATGACAACTGGCCCCATCATAAACCTGAACGGGTTGCATGAGGTGTGGACTCGCACTAACGAGGTCAAGAGCTGCTCCACGCCTGTGGGCGTGGGGTTACAGATGACCAGACAAGAG